CAAATTAACATCCAGCCAGTGGAATTCCCCCACAAGGGCAAGGGTGGTTGGGTTGGGGGTGTCTTGTTGGTGTCATGTCCTGGCTGGGTTGCCAATTGCTGCCTCCCACAATGCCAATGAACAATATTCTCTGACTGGTGTTCAGAATTCACGACACTTTAGGCAAAGAAATGTCATTTTGAGATAAAGAAAAGGAAGTTAGATGCAATATTCCCTGATGACCCGGCATATGGGAGATATTACCGACTTTCTGTTCATCATCTCTAGAACATCCATGACTTTTAAGGCTCAGATATTAGATTTACTCCAGGGAAAAATTCCAACTAAGTAACCAGGTGGTAAAGGAAAGAAATTGGCCAGGCTGGATAGATTAAAAAATACCAAACCTGTGAGTAATGTTTCGATGGGATTGTGACTAACACATGTGGCAAAACCTTGCTGACACATCCAGCTGTACAATCCTGTGAGCAGAGAAGATTTTTCTAATGATTCTACAACTGAGGGTGTTCAATCTGCTAAAAGTTTCCTGCTGACTTGATTTAAAAGCAGTAAAAAGCTCTTGGACAGCCTTATTGCTGAGGCAATGGTGTTGGTCAGGCGGAGCATCCCAGGAACTGCAGATGAAGCCTGTCAGGCACCTGTGGGCATCAGAAATACCAATACCTAAACCCAACCTGTCCCATGGGCTGATGTCCCTGCTGAGAGGGTGGGGAGTGTGCAGCTCCCTGGTCTCCTGGATAACCAGGATGGATAATGACCTCTCATACAACAAGCTTATTGATTAAAGGTCAATTTTTTAATGGTTTTCAGCAGTTTTTCCATCCTGGAGGAAAGGGGTGCTGTGAGGGGGTGGGGGATGGAGGACACTCTTTGCAGGGTCCCAGTTCTGTTATCAGGGATGAAAATCCTGCTGCAGGGGCTTCCCCAAAGACAGAGCCTCATGGAGTACAAATGACAGCAGAGCAGCTCCCTGAGGAGCTTCCAAAGATCGGGTGACCGAGTGGTAGTGGCCTTGGGCTGCTGGGGATCTTCCTGCCCAGGAGAGCCCAGGGAGGAGGCTGGCATGAGGGCACACTTGAAAAGGGTGTAGATAGGCAGGGCTGGTCACATCGGCAAACCACCAGGAAAAATGTAGAGCCTGAGCAAAAACACACAGTGCAAACCTCAAAGCCCTGGCCAGTCAGCACGTGTTGCTTGAGCTCTCAAAGAAAGATGAAAGAACCTTTTCATAAATGATAGCCCACAACCACAGGAGCCTTCTACTCCCAGCTGACCTGCAAGTAACCTGTCAAAAAAGTGGAGGTCTGCAGCACAGTGGCTGAGTTTTCCCAAGATGCTCATATCATGGATCATATCCTAAAGCCATGTGACCATATCTGCTCACTCTTCAATCATACAGGATTTTGGTACATTAGTTACGAGCTGTTGGATTTGACTCTTCACTGATCTGGTCCAGCCCTCACTAAGCTACATATAAAACTAAAAGAGAGAATGATAATCTACCCTTCAAAAAATAACACTCATTTAAGGGTTAGAGGAAGGCAGGACTGTCCTTTTTTTTCCAGTAAGAAATTAAGATAGTTAGAAAAACATCCCGGTGTACCATCTAGATTTACAGTGGGGTTTTTCAATTTAATTTGTCATTGCTAAATACATTACTTTGGGATTAAAACTGCATGGGTTATTAAATACTGATTGTAAGAAGACAGTGTACTGTGGCAGGCAAATAACTTGCAAGTTACTGAAATTAAAGCTTTGAAAATGTTTTAAGGGAATTAATGTTTAATTAGTGATTTTGATCTATAAGGCATTCCAGTAATAGCTTCAATAAGAGATTACATAAACCTGTGAGACATTTATAATAGAAAAGATACTTGATGCAGTATTTTCTTTAATTAATCCTGCACTGGAAGACCACCAGGAGGGAACCTGTAGTTTGTGCACAGTAAAAAGACCATTCTAGTTAGCAGGAACTTCAGCTTCTCTGATTATTTTTTTTTTTTAATGATCAAAGTTACATGCACGCATTTTTAACTATGCCATGAGATGAATTTTGAGTTTAGCATGATTAAGAATATTTACACCAAGATATTCTTGTACAAAGTCTTCTGTTTTCACTAAAAAAAGTAATATGTAATTTCTTATGGTCAAACCCAAGTCACTCTTTTGCTCACTACATTTATCTCGATGATTTGGCAAGATTTTCACAAGGGTGAAAGTGTAATTAAGGAAGTTTAAAAGATGTTTATGTCAGCAGCTGTGAAAACGCAAACAGGAAAGTCTAGTGATCTGAAAACAATAAAAACCTGGTTATCAGGGTTACAGAGTTACAGGGATGATACAACTCCCATTAAAGTTACTGGAAGGGTAAATGAGTAAACTTTAGAAGTTTTCAGTACAAAAACCTGGCACTTTGTAGGTCTTTAGGTTCATCTTCAATCTGAAACGTGTCACCTTTTTGCTGATGTACTGAGTGAAATAAGACTGCAAAAACATTCTGGAGGATTCAAAAGGCTTGATAACTTTGAAACATCTCTTTGAAAATGAGGAAATCTCTCCATTTCCTCCTTCTTTGCTGGTGCAACTAGACCAAAGCCAGAGTTATTACAAAACTTTTTGTTAAATCCACATGGTTAAAAAATGGATCTGGCATTACGTTTAGAAGATATTAATACCTGTTACAGTTTACTAATACTCATTAGGGTTATGCTGTGCTTATTTTCTTTATTACTTTAGCTCTAATCATTTGGTTTAATACCCAGAGCACACATTCTCTATGCTGCCTGCTTAATTATTTTCGCCTCTTTTTATGTCACATTTCTCAGAACAATAATTATGTCAGATCATAAATCCCATCCTACAATGACAATAATAAGAACTTGACAGACAGTAATACTTGCTTTGTAACATGGAACAAGGTGATTTGGTTTAACTAAACACATAATTTCTTTCTAGTTAGTTTAATTAATTCATCTTAATTATTTAACCTATAAACCACAGGTTAATTAAATTGAATCTGGTGCACTCTCTTACTATATTTATATTGCTTTTTTTTTTGAATGGAACTAGTGTTTCATTACCTCCCTTGCTCATTAATTTTAGTGCTGCTGTTGCTGTTTCTTGAAATGTTTGTTTCCTCCAGGGCCAAGTTAATCCATAATTCAATGCTAATGGTAAATCAGCTGTGCATTACCCTCTGTGCACAACCCGAAAGGCAACATGCAGGGGCTGGATCACGTCAGGTAACAGGACCCACTGCAGGAATGTACCCTAAATAGCCACAGCCAGCCTGCCTTGGGCTTTAAAAGGACACCTCCTTCCACCTGCTTTTGATACCATTTTTTCCCAATGCCATCCTCTAAAAATATGTCCCTGCTTTTCTTCCCAAGGTGCAAGGGGGCAGGGTGGGATAGAACTGGCAGCTCCATTTCTAAAGGCTTCTGAAGGCTCTTTTGAAGAGCATTTTGAAAAAAAACAGAAAGTCCAAAGCAAATGCCACAGTGAAAGAGCCAAGGTTGCAAAATCAAATTCAGTAAACTCGAGCCCAGGAGCTCTTGGGAGCAGCTGAGGACACAGTTGAGCTGCTCCTACCCAAGGAAGTCATGGGTGTCTGCAGTACCTGCCCTTATCTGGAGATCTACCATGGCATGCTCATCTACAAACTGTTAGCTCTCAAAAAAAAAATGTGTAATAATTTCTAGAAAAGCAAAAAACAGGGACTAGAAATACCTCTGCTGCCTGTACATTTAATTTTCATCGAACATGCTCGTGGCTAGGCAGCTAAGCATCAGCATAAGCAGGGCTGTGTCAGGGACAGGGCATGCTAAAGCCACCCCAGGAGGGGATGGACTGCCTGCACCACACCTAAGTGTGCCCCACACGTGCTGGCAGATGAAGGTCATGACAGGTCAGGGAGCCTGGCAGCCTCCAAAGGGAAAGGATCAGACCATCCCTAAGAGCCCCTTAACTCAAAAACCTATCTACTGACTCTGCAAGTGTGGGCTGGGGGAGTTTGCACAAGGGAAATCTGCACAAAGCCTCCAGAACTGGCTCAGACACTAAATTTTCTCTGGCATTCCAGCAATTTAATTCCACACAGACATTTTAATTCCATCTCTGTGGTACAGTGGCACACTGTACCCATAACCCACAGCCCAAGGCCCACTCAAACTCCCATTCCAGCAGGGGAATCTCTTGCAAAAGCACCCACAGCTGCTCCCCAGGCACCCAGAGCAGCTCAAGAATCACACCTGCCACTTTCAGCCTTAGATCTAAGGAGACCCTGCTAAGCACAAAGCTGAGTGAGATCACAGCTGGTCCAGGGCCAGAAAGTAATGGTGCAGTAATGGTTTTATTGGCTTTTTGAGAAGGAGCTGTTTGATTTCAGAGAGAGGAGAGTCAACAGCAGGGTTTGCTCCCGCTAATCCCATTTCCAGCAGCACTGAGTGAAAGGCACTTGGGCACAAAGCTGTGCTCGGTTGCTCTCTGTTTACCCAGGGTTACATTAGGAGCCCAAGAGCATCTGAATACAGCCCATGGCAAGAACTGAGGCTTTGCAAATGGCTCCTGGAGCACCAGGCTTATGGGAAGAGGTATTCCAGTGTTTCCAGCAAGTTGTTGGCAGCCCAGTTACTTTCTACAAGTGCTTCAGAATTAACAGAATAAATGTGCAGGAAGGGGAAGGGAAAGATCTAAAAATGTAAAACTAGCTCCTTTTTGTAAAAAAAAAAAAAAGATCTGCATTTAGATGCACAAGTTTTAGATGTGCAAATTTAAGACACTCTCTATTGAGGCAAGCACTGAAGATAACAAGTGTTGACCAGATAATCTGGTTAATTGTAAATAATGTATTTACCTTAAGCAAAAAGAATTCAAATGCAAAAGGGTGAATTTGGCCTGGGTGAGGAGGGGCTCTTGTAAAGGGCAAATTACAGCAGAAGTTACTCTGACCATGATCTGTCCACAAAATAAGTTACTTTAAGAAACAAATTACAACCAAGTCTGGTATAACAGCTCTTTTATTTCAGTGTCTAAAACACAAAAGGAGGGCTTGCATTTCAACATCAGAACCATGCAAAGCACCTACACACCGAAAAAGAGATATTTAACGAGTGTCTCTCTCCTGCTACATGTGGAAAATTGAGGCAGGAAGACTCCGTTTTCCTGTGCGTTCTGCTATGTCCTTCCACAAATCAACCAGCTGTGAGGGGTGATAATTAACCTTCATTCCAAACCAAATCATTTGCCACTGAACAGTATTCCACGCTGCCCTAAGCTCCTAAAATATGCTCCTGTAAACTTGATCCAGGACCCAGTTCTGCTCTCTGTTTACAAGGATGAAGTCCCAGACATCTCCAGCTACAGGGCAGACTTTAATCAGAGGTACTGAATCAATGAGAGTAGAATTTGGCTCAAAGGATGAGTGTCTCCTCCATACAGAGGCCAGGAAAAGGCCCTTATTAGTGTCCCAGAGAGGGGGATGTAGAGATCACCCTAGGCTCAGAGAATTGTCATGTGCACAGAGGACAACTAGACATCCTGAACTATTAAAAAACAGTGGTATAGAAAAATAAAAGGCATAAAATACTGAACCAAAAAGGTTCCAAATAAGGCATCAGCAGGTCCCAACTGGATGTGCTCCTGTTACGTACGTCACCCTCCCAGCCAGGGGGGTTAGGAATGATGCATTAGGATTGTATTTCTGACCTCAATCATTAAGCCCTCCGAGCAACCAGAAGGGTTCAAGTTCTCTTTGAGAAAAAAGAAAAAAAGAAAAAAAAAAGCAAACACATAACCAGGGAGTACTCTTTTTGGTAAGTATTTCTTAGAAAATAAAATAAAAACATTAAAGCAATTTGTTTAAATGATTCATTAAAAAATGACAACGTTCCTGTAAAGTAAAAATATATATATAGAAATAGATTCTTTTTTTTTTTCATTTGTTTGTCTGTTTTTTTTTTTATAAAAAGACATTCAGTAACACATCAGCGGATTCTGATCAGCTTCCCATCAGTCTCCTGCGATAACCGCTGCTTGTTAAGGCAAAACATCGGGTTGGCACCTTTACAACAGCTGAATCCAACTGGGCTGAAGGCAAGGCAGAGCCAGCAGAGCCCTGTCAGCGAGGCTGCTTCTCCCTCACGCTGACCGAGCCGTCCTCCATCCCAAAATACACCACCTCAGCCATGTCGATGAACAGCCCCGTCTCCACCACACCTGGGGAACAAGAGGTCACGTGCTGGTTAATGCCAGAGCCACCCCTTCGCTTGGATCCTCTGCTCTGCCCCTCGTTTTGTTCATTAAAAGGCACCAGTGCCTCCATCAGAGGTTTGGAGAAGTGTCCAACACTGGGGGATGTTCTATCAGCCACTCCAGGAAGCCTTTCCCATGCAGCCACCCTCTGCTGCTGGAGAAACTCTCCAGAGACTGAGAAACAACTCCCGAAGTTCCCTCAACGTTCACACCACCCCAGACACCCCCATCACACCAACACAACCACGAGTGACGCATTTTCAGCCACCTGGTGACTCACAGGAGCAAGAGGAAGCTACACATGCACCCACAGGATTATTCCCTTTGCCTCTGAACACATTTAAAAGATCGTCCTGTTGGAGAACACCTGGATAACACTTGTTCAAATGTTAAGACTCTGCAGGTTTGATGCAACCTCTGCAATTTGTCACCCATTTGCAAATGTACCTGTGGTTGCATTTAATTGTGGGGTGAACTAGAACTTCCCAGTGATCACTGAGACACAGCCAGAGGCCAGAAAGGTGGATAGAAAGGGAGGACAAGGGTTACCACAACCACAGGGTGGCCAGAGCCCTGCTACCACCACTGTATTTAGGCTTTAACAGTTCTGCTCATCCACTTCTGTGTCGGGAAGATGCTCTTCTCCCCTCAGAAGGTCCATTTCTGAGCAGCAAACAGTGCTGAGACCATCTCCACATAGACACAATGGAATATGTCCCATCATTTCCCATTCCTTTCTCCACCACAAAGAAATGCAAGGAAGAAGTCCCTGCTGTTTCATTTGCAAACAGCATAACCAGCCACTGTTTGCCTCTTGCACAGAAACAGCTCTAATGATACAGGCATTTGTACAGCCTTGGGAAGCAACTGGATTAGGATAAGGAGCACTAGGGACAGCCCAGACCAGCAACAGTCACTGGTTCATTTGGATCAGTCACTGGTTTGGGTAGATCTGCTTCTGCCAAAGGTCTGAACCTGCCATCTACTGCCAGAAGCAGCATCCTGGCAGTTTGCTCCTAGAGCAGGGAAAAAGAAAATGTGTGTATTTTCAGTAAATCAGCTTATAAGCACCACTGAGGGAAGCAAAGCCACTGAACAAAAGCAACTGGTGACTCTTCACCCAGCCTACACCCATGGCCTCTGCCTGCTCCTGTGTTTTAATTGTGGTGCCAGGACAATATATTGCTGCTTTGTGGGGATGTTGGGATTTGTGCAACAGGATCCCAACGTGTTCCTGCATGTTCTGACAACACATGAGCAGTCAGTGAAAGCACTTGTGTTATGAACTTCAGGGCCAGGCAGGCCTGGGATATACCCAAAGATAAAAGATACAACATGCATTCAAAAGATGAAGAGCAGACTTTGCTTAAGATAACCAGACAGACATCCAGATGCTGCTTCCCTGAAGTTCAGAGAGTGCCAGTGCCCCCAGGCAGACTTGGCTGGTCCAGAAGCAACTCTGGCCTGGGCAGCAGGTCTCGTGCAAAGCAGGAGTCCTTGCAGAGAGGCTGTTTTGTTTACAAACAGAGGGATCAACCACTGCTGCTCCTGCACAGCAAGAACTCGGATACGTTGCATCCCCACAGCAAAGTGAGCCTGTAGGGCTTCCCATTGGAAATGGGATGCAGAGCTGGAAAATACCATAACACAGTGCAAATCCTCCCTCCAGAGTCCACCAGTGTTTCCACTAAAAGCGACTCTCTAAATGGGAGAGCTAAGGAGAGTAAGGAAGAGCACAGGACTGTTGTGCCTAATGGGAAACAGCGTCAACATCAACCACCATCAGCCCATGTTTTCATCCCCATATGAAAAAGCCATGTGGGTACAGTTGTGCCAGTTCAGCTGACAGATCTCTCAAGTAGAAACAAATGTAGGGACCCACAGCAGGGCAGTGAACACACACACATTTCCTTGTATCCGGGGGGAGCTCCCACAGTCCAGGTTGCCTAGCACAGACCAAACCTTAGCCAGCTTTTGTGGTTTTTAAAAAAAAATCACAGAAACTACCTGGTATCATTTTTATAGCAGTGTTCACTTCACTCCATTGATGAACCTTGTCAAACTTCCAGTCCAGGATGAAGTTCCCGTTGTCTGTCACCACAGGGCCCTGGGAAGCAAACCCAGTTGTCATGACATGAGCTCCTTGTCTCCTGAGCCCAGCCAGGGACAGTCACAGCCCTCGTTGGGACCAGCCATCCCCTCTGCAATGGTTTAGACTCATCATTCAAGTAAATCAGGGCAGTCCACAACAACCATCACCCAGCATGAGCTGCCCCCCAGCTCAAGACCCTCTCTGGCAGCACAGACTGCCCTCCAGCACCCCAAAATCCCCACAGAGCAGCAGCTCAGATCCAGACTGGCAATCCCTCTGCTCCCTGCTCTGGGATGCTTCTTTAGGAGATGTGAGACAGAGAGGCTTTCAAAGAGGTCTGAACACCTAAACACACAGTTCATTAACCAAGGTATAATTGGGAGAAATAACACAGGATGCCTCTCTGGGAGTGAAAGCCCAGAATTCCACTAGATGGAAGGCCAGAACTCTGGTCCTGCATTTGCCCACGTTCAGGTGGTTCCTCTGGGGCAGCAGGGCTGATAGGGGCACTCACTGCTTTGCTGACAGCCATCCGCAGCTCCACCACACCTCCAAATTTTCTGGTCAGGGCTCTGGTGACAGGGACATAAGCCATGGGGATGACCTCAATCGGAATTCCTTTCTTCCACTGCTCCCCAAGGTTCTCTGATTTTTTCCTGAGGACACAGTTTGAGGTGGGATTGGTGTTGGACATTATGTTAACATCACCCCAGTCTCTCTTGCAAACCCCTCAGGCACAAGGCCCTGGAGGACACAGTGGTCAGTTCACATGTGCCCATGTACAGGAGGAGCCTGTTTAATGCATGATACTCTGTTGACTCACAAGCCCTGTTTTGATGTGTTTTGGACAAGGACAGGAGGTTTTTTCCCACAGCCCCATGGCTGTTTGTACAGAACAGGAAATTTATGCTGTGCTGACAATCACTGAGCTCAGACAGCAGAGCAGCCATTTGCCCACAAGCTCTGCTCACTCCCAAGCAGGCCTGCTGAGTTGAAAATTAAGAAAAAAAGAGAAACTGAAATGTTGAAGCACTGTGAGCCAGGCTCATTTCCACCTATTCCTGCTCCCCTGACCCATTGGAGGGACAATAATGGCCTAACACAGGACCATCCAAATCCTCCCAGAGGTATAATGGTAGTATTTTCACCTGTAATCCGCAATAACAATGAAGCACTTTGCATATCCTGCAACTATCTTCTCCTGTGTCAAGCAGCCACTGCAAGGGAGAAAAAAATAAAAATAAAACCAGGAAACATCAGACTGCTCCTCCCTGTGCCTGATGGCCTCAAAGTCCAGTCTCCTCCACCACACGCTTGCTGGTTTTGGTGCTGCCATTGCCCCTCTCCTTATCCTCACACATCACTTTATCCCCCTTGTTCCTTGCACACACCCTTGGTCAGGGGCCATCTCCCACAGTGGGTGCACACACAGCCCTGCACAGGGTCCCCTCAGCCTCTCTAGCCCACCCCAGAGAGATCCACAGGCAGACAGAGGTCCCCACCCACCAGTCCCATGCACAGACAGACAGACAGACAGCAGGGCTCACCCGCCACCTTTGATAAGGTTGAGGTCAGAGTCCACTTCGTCCGCTCCATCGATGGCAACGTCAAGCTGTGGGAAAAGGAGAAGCCACTCTAACCCACAGGCATGTGAGAAGAGGAGGAAGAGAAACTACAACCAACTGCAGGCCTGCAAGGCACATCACATCAGCCTCTAGCGTCATTTAAGGACCAGCAGGCAAGATTTTCCCAGGGAAAATCCTGGCGACAGTTCAGCAGCACAATATCCCCGCCTCAGGCCAGCAAGCCTCAGTCTGGATGAGATGCCTAACACCTGGAGAAAACATAGTCCAGCAACCTACTTGCCATCTAAACGGACAAGAACTAGGACAAGACTAAGGCTTGGGGGAAAAAATAAACTAAGCTTGTTAGAATCATAAAATCCTTAAGGTTGGACAAGACCCTCTAAGATCATTGAGTCCAAACATTAAACTAACACTGCCAGGTCCCTACTAATCCATGTCCCTAAGCATCATATCTATGTGGTTTTTGTACAGTGCCAGGGATGGTGATTCTAACACTTCTCTGGGCAGCCTGTTCCAATGCTTGACCACCCTTTCAGCAAAGAAATTTTTCCCCAGTATCCAGTCTAAACCTCCCCTGGTGCAACTTGTGGCCGTTTCCTCTTGTCCTAACTCACGAGTTCTCACTCGTGTTCTGCAGTGTGGCTGCCCAAGCTCATCCTCAGGGGAGGACAAAGGAGCCTGATGCTTTATGAAGGACCAGGCGAGAGGAAGGTCAGGTGAGGTCTCACCTCTGCACTCCCACTTACCTCTGGATGTCGGTCCAAGTCACTTAGTGTTAAGCCGTTCTGCAGGATCAGCTGACGGGCCTGTGCACCAAGAAGACAGCAAACACCATTTACCAGGGGCAGGAAAGGAAAACAGGCTTGTGGTGTCATTGCCCAGCTGCAGCAAGGATGGGGTCTCCCTGGGAGAGCTCCACTGCTCCTCCCTGAGGAGGGGCTGCAGCCAGCAGCAGGAACAGCAAGGAGAAAATGATGCTTTCAGACCAGAGTACTTTAATCAAAATAAAACCCTTCTGCTGATGTGAATTAAAATGCTCAGATGGTGCAACAGGAATCCTGGGTTCAGGTCTCTCCATACTAAATAGCAAGAGGCCCCATGAGCTTGGTGGGAATTACCTGCATCTAAGCACTAAAGCAGATATGGAATTTTTGAGTCCTGTGTTATTTCAGCTCTGAAATCATTCTCCCTTGCACTCATCCAGCCCCTCTGATCTCCTTTGGCTGAAAAATGCGAGCAAGAAAATTAAATATTTACAGCACAGCAATGTGGGACTAACAATGAAAATATTTTTCATACTGGAAATAAACAAAAAACAAAAAGGGGAAAAGCACAACTCGAAAGTGTGGAAAAAAGTGTGGGAAGCTCCTGAAACAGCTACTTGGTGGCTCTGATCTGCTTTTCCTGAAGTGGCTGAGTATTTCCCTCTAGTGGCAACACATCACAGAGTGCCCAGAGCTGCCCTCTGCTCCATCCCTCAGTTTAAATCGGGAATCACAGAATTGTTCAGGTTGTAAAAAAAAACCTAATATCATAAATCCAACAATTAACCCAGAACTGCCACAGTCACCACTAAACACTGTCCCCAAGTGCCACATCTACACACCTCTTCAATACCTCCAGGGATGGGGACTCCACCACTGCCCTGGGCAGCCTGTTCCAGTGCTTGGCCACCCTTTTCACGAAGAAACTTTTCCCAATACCCAATCTAAACCTCTCCTGGCACAACATGAGGCCATTTCCTCTTTCCCTGTCACTTGTTACTTGGGAGAAGGGACCCATCCCCACCTGGCTACAACCTCTCATCAGGGAGTTGTGGAGAGCAGTAAGGTCATCTCCAAGCCTGCTCTTCTCCAGGCTCAACACCCCCAGCTCCCTCAGCTGCTCCTCAAAGGACTTGTGCTCCAGACCCTCCCCCAGGTCTGTTGCCCCTCTCTGGACATGCTCCAGCACCTCAATGTCCTTCTTGCCCCAAAGGACCCAGAACTGGACACAGCACTCAAGGTGTGGCCTCACCAGTGCCCAGGACAGGGAAGAATCACTGTCCTGGTCCTCCTGGTCACACGATTGGTGATCCAAGCCAGGATGCCCTTGGCCTTCTTGGCCACCTGGGCACACGCTCCTGCCTCGTGTTCAGCCACTATGGGACCAGCACCCCCAAGTCCTTTCCTGCTGGGCAGCTTTCCAGCCCCTCTTCCCCCAGCCTGGAGCTCTCATGGGGTTGTTGTGACCAAAGGCACTCGGCCTTGTTGAACCTCCTTCTATTGGCCTCAGCCCAATGGAATCTCTGCAGCCTGTCCAGATCCCTCTGCAGATCAACACTCCCACCCAACTTGGTGTCATCTGCAGAATCCTGAACTGGTTGAATTTTCTATGTAACAAATTATCATCTAAGAGAGACTCCCTCCTTGCACAGACTCTGCTCGAGTCCAAACCTGCCACCATGCTGTAGCTGGACCAAGAAAGCCCAGTGTGACAGCCTGGATCAACTGATTCCCTTGGATTTTACCCACCAACACTAACAAAGTGCATCAGTCACATGTATTGGCATCCCAGAACCGTTAGAATTAGCAGGTGGTACTCCTGGCAATGAGATATGATTTCAGTAGTTTAACATGGCATTTCATAGCATGCAGCTTTAACACCCAGGGGCTGTGGGAACCTAAGGACTCACAAAATAGAAGGAATAAAAATCAGTGGGTTGACATTCATCACATGGTGTCCACATAAAGAAGATTTCAGGGATCTGGGAACTGAAAGCATTGAAAAACACGGTGCTGCACATGCAGGCCAGATCCTGAACAGGCTTAGAGTCAGCAAGTGTGGAAACGAGGTGTCTTGGCTTTCCTCAGGCTCTGCTTGCAAGGCCAGCAGGATTCAAAAGCAGAGCTCCCACAACTGGGGGAAAGGTGGTGGTAACTGCACAGCACTTGCCAGGAACAGTCCCACTCCGTGCTCTGGGCACACGTCCAGGTGAAAAGAAACCACGCAAAAGCCAAGGGACAGATACTTACCCCGGCTCTAGCTTTACTGGTGGTGGTGGAATAACCCAACCTGACAACAGGGAAGGGAGGAGTATAAAAGCCCACTGAAACCAATTCTTCCTTGCCAGTGACCTCAGGCAGCCATTTACACCTGTACGTAGTGAAAATAAGATGCTGTTTTGCTGACTTGGGAACGCTTCAGCAGGAGTTGGTCGAGGTCTAAGAGACTGCAAAAGACACGAGGCAGCCCCATGCTGGGGATAATGGCTGTGGATCTATCTCTTCCCTTTAACAGCAACCTTTTTGTTTTACTGGTAAGAAGCTCTGTAGTGGTAAATGAACTACAGCGACAGTTCAAGGCAGGACAGGCTCCAGCTCACGTTCAGTACAGGAGCTTTATCAATTTTCTTTAAGACCTACAGGCTGAACTCAGAGCACTTTGCCTATCTTCAAAGGGAACATGGTATTAGGATGAGAATCTGACAGGATGGAAATATAACAGGATGGGAATATAACAGGATGGGAAGAATTTTAGACAGCTTGAAGACAAGACTCTCACCACAAGTCCATATATGCAACAGAAGTAGTGATATAGGCTAAAAAAACTTTTTTTTTCACTTTTTGCCCTTGGCAGCACTTTGCATTATACTCCAGTTGGCCACTGGATGCTTGCAACAGCTGGGAAGACAGAGAGTCCTGTCACTCTACACTCACATTTAAACATCTGCAGGGTAAGAGGATGTTAAGTTTTCATAAGATTTTAGGATAATTCAGGTTGGTCGCTATCTAACCTCCAGGTCAAAGCAGGGTCAGCTACCAGGTTGCTCAAGGTTTTACCCACTCTGTTCTTTCCTGAAAACCTCACAGCACAGGCTCTGCACCTTCTCCTGCACTGCTGGACTGTCCTCACAGTGACACCGTTGTGACAAAAGTACAATCCCCAGGTCCACACCAGGACTATGAGAAGGACACACCCAATTCCTTGAGCAGGGTATTGCCACCCAGCCCTGAAAACCCCCCTGTGTGGTCCCCATCATGACACCTCTCCCTGCCCACAGGGAGGTTCCCACCTCAGGGAACTGAGGCAAAGAGACCAAAGCCAGTTGCCAAAGGCGTGGAAGAAGCTCAGAAGCTTCCCCAGCAGCTCTGCATTTCACCACCAAGCCAGATTCCCCCCTTCCCTGCAAACCTCTCTACATCTGGCTTGGTATGAACCACTTCCTGCAAAAGCTGTGCAGCAAAGGAAAGGTTAAGCCAATTTCTCTTCTGCAATTTCTTATAAAATCCAGTTGAAGCATTTTAAGCTCCTCCTGAAAACAGAGGAGCTCGCTATCATTCTTTAAGGCTTTCAGGGCTTGATATAGACTCAAAGAGTCTCCAGTGAGCTTTGCATTACGAGTCTGGTTCACCACTAAACAGCGTTTTCCTGCAAGTGGGATCCAGAGGAAGCCACACACCAACCCTGACACAACCAGCCTTACCACACTGGTTCAAAACACACCTCCCAGCCCTAGGGCACCCCTGAGTTCAGGTCAGGGTAACACAGCACCATCACCTCCATGGGATCTCTCTGCAGGCTGCATCACAATTGCTTTCACCAGTGCTTTTGGTTAACTCACCAAGGGGAAGATCCACTCCATGAGCGGAATGGCAGAAAGCAAAGGAGGAAAGTGCTCACCTGAAAAGACGTAGGGATGCAGACAATTGTCAGGTTTTCCTCTTTAACCCGCTCAGCTGCAGGGAAAAAAAAGCAGAAGCCTTGGTTTGTTCATTATAGAAAGAAAAAACACACCAACTTTCACTTTAAGAAATCTCAGTTTGGAGCAGCCCCTCTGATTCATTTCAATTACTTGCTTGGCTTGCAAATAACTCAGTCACGCTCAAAATGCAAACAGGTGCCACCCTGCTTAGACTGAGGCTCAGTTTCAACAGTCAGAAATGTTCAAACACCCACCCTGGCTCAGCCCAAGCCACCATGAGCCATTAACCTTTATGTCTCCAGCAGAAGAGGAGCCCCATCAGCAAATCCTCACCTGGGAAATTAGTCCCACGCCCCTCTCTCACTCCATTAGACAGGTTTTTGCTGCTCTCCGTGTAAACAGAGAGCTCCAGCAGCTGTCTGAAAGGTTTGCTGGCTTGTTGCCCTGGGGACATCACATTAATTTATTATAGAACATTTAAATATATGGCAGGGAAAGGACTAATAAAGTACAGTATTCCATTAAATGGAAGGAAATATTTCCTCCCTGAGGCTAACCTCAAATGACTAAAATCTATTACTAAGATATCATTATGGACAAAATGTTATTTTAGTAATTACAATACTTAGGCACAAGCCAACAGCCCGAGAGTCAGCAAGAGCACCAGAGCAAGCCAAGGTAACGCTGCTGCTGGAAGGACTGAAGATGCAATACATGAGGCTGTACGTTGTTACAAGCCACATCCCTGTGCAAACGCAGTCAGGAGACATGAAAAGCCAGAATTTGCAGCCTGGAACAGGCACTCCTCTTTAAATACAATACCCATTTATTTAGAGGCTGATTCTGTGTTCAGGGCGGGGGTGGGTGGTTGCAACACTGAGCCAAACCCAGAAGGCTGAACCGCAGCTCCCAGAAAATTAAAGGGTATCACACACACACACAGAGCTTGGGGCCAGGTGGGTGCCAAGGGACAGGCACAGCACCAGCCCTGCTGTGTCCCTGCAAAGTGAAGAGATGCCTTGTGCTCAGACCTCAGACCTCAGCCCAGCGTGGGCTGCGGGACGGCTCTGCCCAAGGCAGCTGGAGGTCACAAGGGGACTCCCCACCCATGCAGAGCCACCCAGGTGTGAAACACTGAACTCTGCTGCCCAGGGAAGTGGTGGAATCTTCATAGCTGGAGGTGTTTAAAATATGTGCGGATGCAGCACTTGGGAATATGGTTTAGTGGTGAACATGGTGATGCTGGCTTAATGGTTGGATTCGATGATCTTGGAGGTCTTTCCCAACATTTATGATTCTGTTCATTCCCCCTCTGTGTCCAAACAAGACCCCCAAGAACAACAGGGCTGATCCTGCACTCCCAACCTGCCATGGCACCCACAGCTGCTCTGTTCCACATCCAAGGACATCCAAGGTTCAGCATTCCCACAAGCAGATCTGCCCTGGGGCTGAGAGTGCCCTGCAAAGGAACTTTAAACCTCTGCATACTCTGTAATGGGGCGTGAGGATAATTAACCCTCACATCACTTTGCAAAATTGCATTTGCCTCACTTGAATATTTTACTGAAATTTTCTGAATCACACCCTGAGCAAACCTCCCCCTGGGGCGAGCAGATAAACCTGGCTGTGGGGTATATAAATAAAATGCAGGAGGATTTCACATTCCTCGTTTTCATTACACCTCAGCAGGCCCCTCAGTGTGAATCAGGTGGATGTGGGAAGCAGTGTGAGCCACAGATGAATGGGTTAAAGGAAGCAGAGCAGCTGCATGGCTCAAAGCCACACAGCAAGTCAGCACTGGGCAGAGCTGGGCAAAGCTGGAATAAGACCGAGGAGTTTAGCTCCAGTTTGTGCTGGGTGCCAGCAGAGCGCTTTTTCTGGCTGTATGGGCAGAACAGGTGGCAAATCATTACCTCCTCAGAATTCTCTATGCCATAAATTTGGAGCCCTGTTTTAACCTTCAGCTTCGGCTTCAAGCAGTCGCAAACAAGAGGCAAACAACACCCCAAACAATGACCCAAGGCATGAGCTATAAGTCAGCATCCAGATGATTTAGTGTGTTTTTCAAGTAGTTGGGACAGATGGACAAGAGGACTGTTTGTGGTGGGAGGGCCAGGAAGGGGAGCACAAGGGGAGCACCCTACCTAATCGATGCACCGCGTGTACAATCGTAGAACCGCTTCCGATCCCGAGAACTTGATTGTTCTGCAAATCAAAGAGAGACAGAGGGAGCTGTTACTGGGGGCTCAGCACACAAGCTGTCCACTTTTTCTGGTAAAACTGATATTATAAACACATGCAAGAGGAGCCTTGCCCAGAGATGCAAGGCGATACAGAACACTGCAGGCAAGGAAGGGAACACGCTGTGCCAGCGAGGGCACGACCGTGGTCCACGGCCAAGGGATTTTAAGCAACTTGCCCTCTCATTAAAAAACATGTGCTTGCTAATTACCACCGAGCTCTGATCTCGGGGTGTTCAGTGCACACTCATGGCTAGTTGCTGGCACTCCATCCATCCTCTCCTGCCGGAAAGCTGTGAGTTTCAAACAACACCACAGAGGAAGTAGCAGAAACAACCTCAAGATAACATCTCCCAAGGAAGCTGAACAGTAAAAGCCTGGGTGGGTTTGCTGCCAACTCTATTGTTAGTAAACAGCACAGATGCACCAGCAGCCAAAGCAGAGAGCACAGCAGCTGTTCCTGTGGATAATAAAAACTGTTCTCCAAAACAGAGTGTAAAACTGCCTATATGAGAGTCCAGCAACACTCTGAAGGTGGGTGAGCCTGGCAGCATGTGATGAAGAGGATCAAATTTTAACTACAGCTCCAACCTGGCCTTTCTCTGCTTATGGTCTGGTTTAAGAAGGATCGTTACTGTCTCATCTGTAACACAGGTATGCTCCTAAAGGGTGCTGCAGACTGAGGGTGGATGGGTGCACTTGTGTTACTTCTGCAAGATGTCTCCTCTGCCACATAAATCTCTGTTTATTATCAGCTCAGTCTCCCACTCCCTGTAGCCTCTTGCACTTTTTCCATTTTCAGTGTAATTCCCTTCCTTTGGATGGGATCCAAAGCTTAAATTGACTTAAAGAGGCCCAGGATCACTACAGAGACTTCATATGAAAAAGACTTGGAGCCAGCCAGAGATGCAGGCACAGAGCTGTTGTGCATTATCTCTTGGACATTGGGCAGATCTGGAGCTCTTTCCCCATGTGCAGCAAATCCAGAGTTTGGCAGCTGTGGAAAAAGCCACACCTGCAGCACTTCAACCAGCTAAAGTCTTTCTGGCACGCTACTTTGCCTGGAAAGGTGGAGTTCAAGATAGGTCACACTCCCCCAGGATTACTCATTTCTCTTGCTTCTGCAGTTTAAAAGCTTAAAGAAAACAGATCTACAAAACCAGACTCAGCTTACAGCCCAGCCCTCGCCAGCTCTGCAAAAGATGGGCAAAGCAAGAGCTGCACACCTGGGCATTGCCAGAAGAAACCAAACAGCTCCAGAGGCTTCTCATTTCCACCAGACCATCAGGCAGAGCCAAGCACAGCCAGCCAAGGGGCAAGCAAAGCTACACAGAGGCTGGCAGGACATGGGCAGTACCAGTGTTCCCAAGAAACTCGTTTCAATCTGGGAAGAGGCAGTTTCTTCTCTTTGCCCTCATTTCTGCAGTGTGGGACAGCTTCCTGGAGCAGCTGGGTGCCCTAAAGGGATGGGGAAAGAGCCTCAGCATCAGCCACTCCACTGTAATGAAAGGAGAGGAGTTCACAAGGGTCCCAGCTGATCCCATCCCACAAGGGTCCCATCCACTGATCAGTGATGAGGGGTGAAACACTCTCCCCTAGGTGACAGTATGAGCTTGGACAAGGTGGATTTCCCAGAAAAACAGTTTAAAGTCAGTCTAAACAGATGCTGTCACAACTCCTGCCTTACTGCACCTCCCAGCTCTCCCTCCTCAGCTCCAATTCCAGCTAAAGCAGGGGCAAAAACAACCAAAAAACATCCACTTCTAAAAACAGGGGCAGGGCAAACACTGGCAAGAAGCAGAGCACTGAAGGAGCAGCACCTCATGCAAAAAAACTACATTTCAGATTGCTTACCAAAACCCCAGCAAACAAAACCAAGGCACTGAGACACAGCACAGCTGAGGACCCACGTATGGGTGAAGATGGCAGCAACCACAGCATTTTCTCAGCTAACCCAAGGGCCTAAAGACACTGCCCAGCATTACAGAAGCTGAAAAGGCAACACATCGAGCAGTATCGGCACAGGGGTGGACTGGTCCAGCGTTAGTTTCCAAGATTAGAGAGCAAAGAGTTCCTGCTAAAAGCAAGAGATAAATATAGAGCAAAGTCCAAAGCTTGCTCAGTCCTCTCTGGGGCAGAAGGATCTTGAGTTCTCACCCGTATTTTCATTTCTAACGGAGGCACTCGCAAGGCCTGCCTTCAGAGGTGTTGTATAAATGCAAAGCCAGCTCTCCCCAAGCAGCTTACAGCTCTAAAGCCCCAAGCCCTGTGGCAGCGCTGCTACTCTGAGCTGTCATGGCCTCACAGCCCATGGTTTCCGAGGTTGGTCATCTCCGTGTCTGCTCCAGAATGCAGAAACTCCACTCCCACAGCTGTCTGTGGACAAGTGCTGTGGGTACACAACCCAGCTTTAATTAAAAAAAATAAAGAGAAACAAGTTCTCCTCTCCTAATCCCTCCACCCACCCTCAGGTTTACACCTGCCACAGGGTGCACAAGGAGCTGCTGTGCTGGCACAGGCACGGATGGGTGTGAAGGAGGATGCCAAGAGAGGACCCTCACCCAGCACCAAGCCCCCAGTGCTACAGATTTTCAGCACAGTTAAGCAAGAGAGATTTGTCCAGCAGAACCAAACTCTGAAGTCAGTGGCTTCTCTCACATGTCCCTGCTGTGCAAGGAAGGAAGCCTGTAGCTTTGTTTTCGGAGATAAGGTTGCTCCTTTGGTTAACAGTGATAACTAACAACCAAACACAAACTTATCCATTACAAAGAGCAGTTGCACCCTGAGAGTGCAAACTGACAGCCAAGACCATCCAACTCCTTGGCATTGACTCTAACCTGCTTCTCCACCACCGGTTCAAGCCAACTTGCACAACAAGCATTGGGGTATTGCCCCAGACACTGCCTAATTTACTTAATCAGCATCATTTGCTGGGCACTGAACTTCAATCAGCTGGAGAAACATTATCCTAAGTTTGCTTGACCATAAAACACCACAAAGGCCAGTATCTCACTAGGAAAAGTCCTGGCTTTACCCCAAATAAAAGGCGCACCAAGCTCAGGATAACTCGCAGCAGCAGCTGTGCCTTGGCTCCACAACTTGCAACAAAAGTCACAGAATCACAGACTATGCCGAGTTGGAAGAGACCCCCAAGGCTCCTTGAGTCCAACCCTTACCCCTGCATAGGATCAACCCCCAAAAGTCACACCCTGTGCTCGAGAGTATCATCCAATTCCTTCTTGAACTCTGGCAGCCTTGGTGCTGTGACCACTTCCCCGAGGAGCCTGTTCCAGCATCCAACCACTCTCAGTGTGAAGAACCTTTTTCTAACATCCAGCCTAAACCTCCCCTGACATAACTTCCTTCTGCAACCCCTCAATGCACAATTTTTGCTTGCCTTGGGTAAGAAAGGGGATTTTTATGCAGCTGTCAGAACCCCCAGGCTCCCCCATCCCACAAACTACTTTTGATCATGTTAGCCTGGTAGGGTGTGCTCTCAGGCAGGGACAGACTGCTCAGAGGAACAAGGCTGCAAAACAAGCCAAACTTTTATAGGACATACAGCCCTCAGCAACTGAACCTCAGAACACTAACCACGTGAGAGGGAGCAGGAAGGGGAATGGAATTTCCCCCCCCCCAACTGCTAATATCTAACTCCTTGGCAGCAACTCTTCACCCTGGTTTCATCACTGCTGTTGCAAAAGGGCTTGCACAGCAAACACTGTGATAAACCCCTGTGGGACGTTAACCGTTGATCCTCCAAGCCTTCATGATCAGGCTGTGCCAAACCTCGAGCAGCTCAAGTCCTATCTGACATTCAAGCCCCTTGCTGCACTCCCCTCCCTGCAGAGGACAGGACACCACTCCCTGGTTTGGGGCTGTTGCTTGGGTGCTCAGAAACGGGGTGCAGCAGCAGAGCATTTGGACTTGGACTTGGACTTGGAGAAAGGAGCAGGCACGACATCAGCCTGAACTCCCACCACAGCCCAGCTCGCAGGAGGGTGCACGGTGAAAGTCTGGAGGTGCAAGATGCTACCCCAAATCAGTGTGCATGGTGCTGAGCTGGGCAAGGCATGGAGCTGCTGCCAGGGAGGTGATCAGTACGGAAGGGAAAAGTAGTTTTCTCCCTTCGTTTCAACTAAAGGAGCACAGTCCAAAACAAAGGAGAAAGCGGCTCTGTCCGTTCACCCCAGGGTCCATCCTTGTACTCCAGGACTGTCCATGTTCCAAGTGGGGTTGTCCGTGCACCTCACAACCCATCCACGCACCTCAGGGCTGCTCCATGCACTGGAGGGGTCCGTGCAAACTGAAGCCTGTTCATGCACTGGGTGGCTCCGGGCACCCCATGGCTGCTTCATGTACTGGGGAGTCCCGGCAGTCCTGAGCCTGCCCCTGAATCCTGGAGTCACTCTGTGTGCTGGGGGATCTGTGCATCCCGGAGCCCATCCATGCACTGGGAAGCTCCGTGCACCCCACAGCCCCTCCACGCACTGGGGAGTCCAGCACCCCAGCCTGTCCCCGCACCCGGAGCTGTTTCATGTGCTGGAAGGCTCCGTGCACCCCATGGCCCCTCTGTGCATTGAGGGGTCCTGGCACTCAAGAGCCTGTCCTTGCGCCCGGAGCCGCTCTGCAAATCCCGGGATCCGTCCGTGCCCCGGGAGGCTCCGTGCACGCCACAGCCGCTCCGTGCACTGGGGGGTCCCGGCATCCCAGAGCCTGTCCCGGCACCCGGGGGCCACTCTGCGTACTGGGGGATCCGCGCACCCCAGAGCCCGTCCATGCAATGGGAGGCTCCGTGCACCCCCCGG